GCCTGGCCACATACAGTGAATTCTTTTTTTTGTTGTTGCAGTTTGGCTGGGGCTGGGTTCTAACCTGCCAGGTATATGGGGCCAGGACCCTACACACTGAGCCACAGGCGCCACCCACAGTGAATTCTTAATAATACTTACTTAGAATTGTTCATGTTTACCAATCTTTCTTGCAACTTCCTCCTTTATACTGGGTTCAGTTTCCTTCTGTGACAACTTTTCTACTAGGGGACTGTTGATTATAGTTTCTCACATTTTAGCCTGAGAATAACTATTTCTCAATCACTCCACTGACTACAGCTGTCTGACTTAGTACTATCTCTCCACATTCTGAAACTTTCATTCACCATTTCTGATTGCTATCTTGTCCTTCATGTTGGTTGTTAAGTTTCATTTTGCTCTTTTGTGGGCTGTTTTCTTCTCTGGTGCCTTTAATTTCATTTATAGAGATACGGCCTTATTTGCTTATCCTCTTTAAGGCCATGCTTCTTGAACTTAGAATTTGTGCCAATTCTCTGTCATCAACTCGGTCACCTCATTCCCATTCTCTGTTGTTGGCTTCTGCTGTTACATGTTCAGGACCTCTTCATTCCGTTGGTCTTAAGGAATATTTTCTAACTCTTCATCCTTCTGTATTGTTTTTTGGGTGATTTCTTAATCATCAATTAACTCATTAATTATCTTAACTGTGTCTAGTTTGCTATTTAACTTGCCTATTTTATAATTTTAATGACTATATTTCTCATTTCTAGAAGTATCATTTTTTCAAATTTGCCTGGACTCTTCTGACAGTGTCGTGTTCCTTTCTTTAGTTTTCAATTCCTGATTTTGCCTTTACCTTCCTGAAATAGAGTTATTTTGTGTGATAGTTTTATTATCCAAAGTGGCTAACTTTGGTAGCTTGTTTTATCTGCTGACTCTTACGTGAATTTGTTTCCTTGAATGTTTTCTAAGTTTGGACGGTAAACTTATCTTTGGATTTTTATCTAAGGGAAACTTGTGTGGTTTAGGTTGAAGGTGTTACCTCCAAATAGATATCTTTATTACCAGCCTGGGACTTTGTCATTTGCTGTATTAGCTTGAGGGTTCCTTTATACTGCTGGTAGTATAAATTTAATCTGCAAGACTGCATGAGAGCAGACTTGTTTTAATTTCTCAGGAAATACTTTTCCTTTTCACCTACACCTCAGTAGAAATAAACAAGCTTCCTTATTTCCTATGTCAGTGCAGGCCCCCCTTCTTTGATAGATAGTATAGTGCTTAAACAATTGCAGCTTTATTCAGGGAAGCTCACTCACAAATTTATCCAGGCCTAAGACCTTACCTTCTGTTCTTTTGTGACTATTAAAACTCAAGTTCCTTGGTTCTCAAAACTGAGAATCAGCCAGATACAGGGGCTCATACCTATCTATAATCCTAGCACTTTGGGCCAAGGTGAGAGGATTGCGTGAGTTCAGGATTTTGAGACTAGCCTGAACAAGGGCAACACTCCATCTCTACTAAAAATAGAAAAAATTACCTAGGCGTAGTGGCAGGCGCCTATAGTCCTAGCTACTTGGGAGGCTGAGGCAGGAGGATCACTTGAATCCAGGAGTTTAAGGTTGCTGTGAGCTAGGCTGATGCCACAGCACTCTAGCCTGGGCAACAGAGTGAGACTTTGTCTCAAAAACAGTAACAATAACAAAACAAACAAACAAACAAAAAAATCCCCCCCAAAACAAACAAAAAAAAATACCCCTGAGAATCATCTGCACTGCTCCCCAACTACATGTGACCCCATCAATTTACAGGCTTACTCTACTGGTTTGTAGTTTCCTTTGTAAATATTTTCTTACAATTTTAAAATTTATCTCATCACATTTCTAGGTGCTTTGTGGTGGGAAGCCATACTCTGCTATGCCTAAAATTCAACCACAATAATTTTTAAATACTTTTAAAATCTAATGATAGGTAATAAAAAGCTCTATTTTACTTAATATTTAATAAAAGTAATACTTCATGTGAAAATTTTTCAACTTGCCTTGTCTCTGATTTACAGGCTTCCATATTGTCAGGACAGAGATTCCAAAGCCTTGTTAACTCCTCACTACAAAACAGACAAAAATACATACGTTGTTTATAAACGCCATTCTCAGGTGCCTTAAACCTAAATAGAAAAACAATACCAATGCAAACAGTGGATTTGGGGCTGATGACAATATGAGTTTTACTTTTACCCTTTATAATTTTGGCTACTTAACACATTTTCCATATGAGAATAATCATAATGATATGATAATCATAATCATTAATCATGATAATGAATGATAATCACATAACCATTAGCTTTTTCTATAAGCATTCAAGCAGAATATAAAGCAGTATTTCACTGGATGGTAGCAGAACTCCAAAATTATGGTACCTTATGGCAACTAGAAGTGAGCTGCTTCAATCTAAATAGCAATTCTATTGTCTATGAAACAGGAAAAATAGCATGTCCCAGAGCCATGATTTTTAAAGCTGGAGACAAAATAAAGTTTTACGGAGTTGCATGAAACCACATAACGGGCAGTACAGACAGAAGGGTGTGGTTTGCTTTGAATCTATGTATGTGCTGCACACAAATTCGCATTATGTTTGTATATAAAAAACTGGATAGTTCTTACAGTAACACCTTGAAAATATAAAAGTAACTAGGAGCATCCCACGTACGAAGACAACTTCACCTACTTTCCCATCAGAAGTTTTTTGCTGGGTCCTTTCCCTAGGAAGTCCTCCGGGGCTGTTCTCTTCCGCACTACTCTTGTAGGCTTGGTATCTGATGTTCTGTGGTGAACAAACATAAGCTATTTTTGGAATTACAAATAGCAGAAATGGAAGAATGTTTAATGTAATAGAAAATTTAGTTATTATTTTCTTCCTGAACATAAAAGCTTCATATTATGATACAGCATTCTTCAGAGATGATAAAAATGCCACACTAACGGGGGAAGTACAAGAAGTAGACAGGCAGCATTTTTTTCAATAATTAATATTTTTTTTTCTGGGACTTTAAAGATAAGAGTTTTGAGGTAAAAAGTACAAATAGAAGTAATCAAAGTGGTTGCACTCTTACAGAGTTCAACTTAGACATATATGTTTGAGGTGGGGCGCACAGAGTCTCATTCTGTACCCTAAGTAGAGTGCCAGGGCATCATAGCTCATAGCAACTTCAAAATCCTGGGATCAAGTGACTCTCTTGCCTCAGTCTCCCGCTACAAGGCTCAGCCGTGTTTTTTAGTAGAGATGGGGTCTCACTCTTGCTCAGGCTGGTCTTGAACTCCTGACCTCAAGCAATCCACCTGCCTCGGACTCCCAGAGTGCTAGAATTACAGATATAAGCCACTGTATCCAGCCCTCAACTTACACTTTTTATATGCAATATATATTACCATAGTTTTCTGTGTATAACGTGCACTTTTTGCCCCAATTTTTGAGACAAAAATAAGGATGAGCATTATATGGGTAGTAAGGCTTGGGAACAGGACAGCCCAGTGGACCTCCCAGGCCACTGTGCCCTCATGCCTGGGCCTGCTGGGTGTACGAGGTTCCAGTCCAAGAGTACATAGGATCTGGTGGGAGTGGGCTGAGCAGCCTCTACTGAATGCTGCAATCAAGCCCTGGGGGCAGGGCTGGTGAGTCAGGCCACAGCCGTGTGGTGCAAAGGCTGAGGTCTGAGACCCAGCCATGTAGGGGGCAAAGGCACTGTGTGTGCACAGGCCCCAGGGACCCACCTAGCTATTTGTGAGCCAAGAAGCTCGTGCCCTACCAGTTATGCACATGGGCATCTCGGCTATGGCCCCTGATGTAGTAGAGAGGAAAGGCTTCCTGAAAGAGAGGGTAGGAACAGACTTCACAGAATGCATGGCTGTGGGAGGATAGTGCAATCTGCATGTACTCCAAGGAAGCCTTAGCCCTACCTAGATGTGTCTTTTCCACCGAGAGCTGGCCACTGTCTTGAGGGGTGTTTTACCCAAAGTTGGGGCTAAAATCCTGGGTGTGCACTATACATGGGAGCCCATTATACACAAAATATAGGTATACACATCTGTAAATGATACAATCATATCAAACTATATTTGAAATATCTTTCTTATATTTCTTGTGTTGTGTATACATTTACCTTTCTTTCACAAAACTTGGGCAGCCTTCATTTTTCCATGAGTTCCAGTTTTCTTCAGTGTTTAATATATGCTGAGAAAAACAACAATTACATTTGCATAATGGAATCCTCTGAATTTCTACTTATTCCTAACAAGACTATGTGAATATAAGACACATACCTCTACCATCTTTGAAAATCTTTCTCCATCAGGGGGGTTTTCAGATAGTAGCTGTGATTAGAAAGAATATACTAAGCTTTCAGCAACTTTCTGCATCATAGGAGTGGTTTGTAGGCAGAGAACCAAGGAAGTGTTTGTGGTCTTGTACCTGAGCTTAACTTTATCCTTATTTTCCTATTTGGGGCTGAAACAAAGAGAATTCTAAATTTCCATTTTTCAATCATGGGTTTGTTGCATGTTGAACTTACTTGATACACTGATTTTGTAGTATCTTCAATCCAAAGTGACTGTTCGTCAGTTAAAACATAGTTTGAACTAGGGAACAAAGCAAGGAAAGCATGTTTGAGTTACAACAATGTATATTCAGTTTAAAAGTATAAGAAACACAAGGTGTATAACACATAAGTTAACCATACTATAGTGTCCAAAATTACCAAGGTAGGAATATATACAAATGAGAAGTGTATGAGAAAATTCTTGTACTTTATTCTCAAGATAAGAGGGTTACAACTGAAGACAGGAAGGTATGTGGGAGAACAAAACGTTCAGTTACTTGATCAGATTTCAAACTGTAGAGCAATAAATATTTCCTAAGATAAGTTTAAGGTGAGATGAAAATCTCTTGAGATAATTAATATTGTCATACGTGTGTCACTGTAAGAATTTTAAGATACACAAAAATCAACAAATGTAAAATCTGTGCAGACAGAAACAAATGAGACCCCCAGGCAACACCAATAAGCTGAGCAAGTTGAAACTTGCACAGGTACATCAGAAAGGATGCTGTTGACCATGTTTCTTGGAAGATAATGAACCACAACCCAGTCTGTCTCAAAACTTTTGTAGTGACTCACGCATTCCTATATATGATGCACATTCAGAATGGCATGCTGCATTCCTTTTAAAAATGCAGTGAAAAACCCAAAACCTCAGAAAAGGTTGTACGTAGGTTGTAGTAATAACCGAAATTGTTAACAGCTACTATTAACTGAGCTTTCACCATGAACTTGTGCTTGATAGACACCTACTAAGTTATGATGTCCCCCTGTGCTGGGATCTGAGCACTTTACATGCATTATTCATTGAACTCTGGTAACTACACACACAGACTAAACAGAAACCATAGTGAGTCAATGATTTTCCCAAGGCCACAAAGCTTGTATTCAAACCTAGACCCACCCTCTAAAATAGTGAGAAGGATAAGAAATAACATGTTTTGAGTGTTTACCATGTGCTACTACTCATCACAAGTTTCCAAGGGCTGCACTGAAGGCAGCAAGGACACTGGGATTGAAACCTAGCCAGTAGTAAAGTCATGTTATTCACACCACTGACACCACACTGCTTTGCATATTTAACACAAATATTGTCCAGTGATGATGGGCTTTTACTTCAATTATGGACAGGGCAAGAGGAAATGTTCTGCCCCAGATGACTTAGATAGGCAGTAGCGATTGTGGTGAGGTTTTATGAAATCCCAAAGAACTGGAACTCCTATTTGCTTCATGATCTCCTTTGCATCTTTTACTTTGAATGTCCTAACAGCTCCATACCTTGTGAGAGAAGTGTTATTGGCTTAGTTTGCAAATCAGCTTTGGAGAAGGGCTGACTGACGTGAGAAGAGAATGATGAAAGTCTACAGTGGAGAGCTCCACCCACCAATAAAAATGAGAATGCCCAGGACAGCCTGGAGCTCAGCAGGAAAGATTCACACTGACAGTTAAAAGAAATATTCTAATATCTAAAAGCCCCCACTTAGCTATATGTCTACTGCAATAGAAGTACTTTAAGGAAGTTACACTAATACATATAACAAACCCAATACATAAGACAAATATGACAATAAGCAAGTCCTTTTCTGCTGTTTATAAATCATTTACTACCCACATAAACTTACCTTTTGAATTTGACTTGCCCCTTGAGATATTGGAATAAAATAAGATACTGCAACAAGATGTGTCGACGAAAGTTACTGTCACTCAGCTGTAAATCCATCAACTACTCAAAAAGCAAGCACACACACAAAGAAACAACACATTAAAATCAAGTTTTGCCAAAAGGTACAATTTAAGCTACTATAGAAATGGAAGATTTCAATTCAATTGAACAAAACATTTGTTGAGAGCTCACTACCTGTGAAGTATTACTGCACAAGCCTACTCCCAGAGCAGCAAAGACTTCATTTAGATTTCCTGACCATTTATGCCATGAAGATATTCATGTTGGTGGACAACACTGTTCTGCCTGTGATCCTGACATTAGGATAAAATAAGGCAGAAATGTAAGTGGGGCACCATGGCATGCGTTTATAGCCCCTGACACTTGGAAGGCTGAGGCCGGAAGATCACTTACACCCAGGAGATTGAGAACAGCCCGGAAACACAGTGAGACCTCATCTCAAAAAATCATTCAGCTTGTGTGCAGGAGGTTAAGACCAGCTTGGGCAACACAGCAAAACCCTATCTCTAAATTAAAAAAATAAAAAAAAGAGGGACTGCCACTTTCCCATGTATAAGGAAATAATGGTTAAAGGCAAGGTTCCTATGGAGAAACAGCACATTATCAAGGGCCATCACTCATTTGGGTAGCTCTACAAAGTGCCTGCAACAGAGGTGGTACTCAGTAACGTCCAAGAAGGCCACGGAGGTGAAGAATCATCTGTAAATTCAAGGGGCGTATAGAGAAAACTGCATCCTACTTCATCGATCACAGAATGTCAATCAGAACGGACTTGAAGGTCACTTATGAGGAAACTCTTCTTCAACAACCCTGCTGTCTAGCTGGTTCTACTGTAAGAATGGCCTCTGGTGATGAAGGAAAGTCTGATTATGTCCAGAGAGCACTTAAGAATAGCTGAAGTCTACATCCAAGCTCATGCCGGTTCTTGTCTTCAAGAACTACTGCGACAAAGTGAAGCCACTTTCTTCTCCATGAATTGCCAGCAAGACAGCTGAAAGCCCTCGTGATGTTTCAGTTAAGTGTCCCAAGTCCCAGTGGCCCTGCTTCCTGAAGCATGGTTCCATCTGCGAGCACAGGCTAACACCCATGAGCCTTTCATTCACTAGCAACCTCTTCCATGCTGCTGTCTCTTCTTTAACAAGCCCTGCGATTAAAGACGATCAGGTTTCCGTCATCTTTCAGGATTGAATATTTGATTCTGTTATTTATCGTCTTAACTATCCCATCCCAAATTGGCAATGCGAATGATGGGCCATTAGTCTTCCTTTATTCCTACTCCTGGCAACTTGACTGTCTCTACTCAGGCTCCCAGTTCCTTGACTCAGCTCCACTGACAGTCACATCCCTTCTGCTTTGGCTGCCTTCTACTGTGTGATCAGTCCCAGCTGTCCCTGCTCCGAAATCTTTTAACTCACAATCCAATCTCACCACTACCTCAGTCCCTCCCTGGTCTCTCATTCACTTGCTCCCAATATACTCTGGAGATGGTTAAGTCCTTTGAGCTGTCTATTTCACGTCTATTAGTCTCATCTTATTTATACTGTAATCTTATTTTAGTCTAGGGGTTAGTAATTTTTTTCCTAAAGGGCCATAAAGTAAGTATCTTAGGTTTTGTAAACCAAGAGTCATATTATGGGTATTTATAGGTACTGATGTAAAGGTCTAGGATGTTAAAAAAAAACCAAACAAGCGAATCCATCTCAACCTATTCATGAATTAGCAGCAAGGTCTGACATTACTATTCCAACAATATTGGACCATTTGAAACAAATTGGCAAGGTAAAGAAGTTGGATAGATGGGTTTCACAGGAATTAAATGAGCATCAGAAGAGAAACTGTCTCAAAGTTTGCCTTTCTTTGCTGTCATGACATAAAAGTGAACCATTTCTTCACCATATTGTTAAGTGTGATGAAAAATGGATTCTTTTTGACAATCACAAGTGTTTGGAATAAGGGTCAGATAAAGATGAAATGCTGAAACACAGTCCAAAACTGAATATTTATCGAAAAAGCTAATCGTCTATTTGGTGGTCCAGGGCTGGTGTCATCCAACACAGCTTCATTAACCTGGTCAATCAATTACAGTGGATGTCTACCGCAGCCACCTGGACACACTGAGGAGGATGCCTGCAATTAAGCAGCCAAGACTGGTCCCCAGAGACAGGCCAATCCTCCTGTAAGAGAACATGTCATGCAAACAATGCTGCTTAAACTATAGAAGCTGGACCTAAAAACTCTTGTCATCTCTGTCATACTGTATTCACCAGACCTCGGGCCAACTGACTACCACTTCTTTCAGGGTTTGGACTACTTGCCAGGAAAATATTCAATTCTCAACAAGCTGTGGAAAATGCCTTTCATGATTTCATAGCCACTTGGTCTCCAGGCTTCTTTGCTGCTGGCATAAACGAGCTACCGTTAAGATGGCAAAACTGTGTCAATAGTTTAGGTGCATACTTTGATTAACTATGCTGCTTCTTGTTTGGGATATAATAAGCATCTTTAATGACCTCTGCCTACAATCAGAAGAAAAATTCATTAGATTGGACATCATTTAATTTCTTGGCCCCCTAAAGTACACATGCACCCACTTTTGGGCAATCCTTCTATTTGGACATACCACCTCCCTAACACCTGAGTCCCATCAATTAACCCCCTTCTTTCCAAGCCCCTTCCATTAGCATTAAATACCCTCTCTCAAAGACATCCCACGTCCTCCTCTTACCTCAAACAACAAAGCTTCTCGAAAGAACTGGCTACATGCATTCACTTATGTATTCTCTGTGCGGCTTCAGGCTGCAACACAGAGTTGAGTAGATACAGCAGAGACCATATGGCAAAGTATAAAATATTTACTGTCTGGCCCTTTATACAAAAGTTTGCCAACCCCTGCTCTAGAGAAGTATGATTTTTCTTAAACACTATCTCCTTAGAATTAGTTAGACTTTGAATTTTGCCACTTTAAATAAACCTCTTTGGGGTAAAGGTAAAAACCATTGCCGTTACTATCAGAGTAAATTTTGTTAATCTTGTTCAGAGTAAACATTAAGATACTAAAAGTATAATTACTATACCGGGGAGGGGAATCCACCTGCTGCCTTCTTTTACCTGAGAAATAACAAATCAGAGCAACTGAAATGCAGCACCTGTCTGAATTATCTTCAAATTACAAAACTGCGAGATATTTTTGTGCCTTATAATGTGGTATCTTATGCTACAAAAATATTTAGTTTGAACACTGGTTTGGGGCCATCCTTTTCACTATGACAGTGCTTCCCAAAGTTAACAGATCATGGGAAATTTTAAAAATAAATTTATTGAAGGAATCTGTTATGAGTTAATGAATTATCATTTATACTTGGAGTTAAGCAGACTTTAAAAAATGGTCACATTGATGAAATAATAATTTGCATGTGCTTATAAAAACTGTGTAACAATAAAAATAATAATTATTAGAATGACAAAAAAAAAAAAAGAACTGGCTACATGAACTGTTTCTAATTCATCCCACATCCTACTATAATTTGGCTTTTTGTTCACCAATTTACTGAAAGCATTTTTACCGAGATCACCAAGACTTGTTATTAAATCCCGTGAATGCTCTTTTCATACTCTTCATCTGACTTGATATGCTCGGCTTCCATGAGATCAGAGTTTTCTAGTTTTTCTCTAATCTTACTGGTTACTCTTCAGGCTTCCTCTCTTCTCCTCTCTTCCTGGTTTTCTTCAGAAGTCAGCTCAATACTTTCTTTCCTTCCCCCACCTACACTCTCCTCCTTATCTTATCTCATATACCATACAGCTTTAATTACCACAAACAAGCTGGTAACTCCCAAATCTACACCCTCAACCTAGACCTCACTCCTAATCTCCAGACTTGCATACTCAACACATCTTGAATGTTCAACTGACACTTGATCAAATTTCATGAACACAATAAAACTCATCAATTTCCCCCACAAAGCCTGTTCTTCTCCTGTGTTGGCTAATTCAAGGAGAGGCTCCACCATCTGAGCAATTGTAGGAAGGCTTCCTGGAGAGAACAAAATCTGAACTATCAACAGGAAGAAACCTAAAGGTATAAAGTATGTGGGAAGGAAGACACAGGCGGAGGAAAGGAAGACAGTCACAAGGACTTGGAGCCAAGTAAGAGACCAGTCCAGTCCCTTCGAGGAATCTAAATACACAGGTCAATAAGTCTGGAGTAGAGACGTGAACTCCTGGCTTGAAGAGATAAATCAAAGGGCTAGACAATGTTTACTAACTCTTCATCTATCTTGGTCTTTAAGTGCCCTTTACCACATTTTATTTTTTTAATGTTAGAAGATAGAAAATTTTTCCTTGGAAAATTTTTCTTGATAGAAACAACAGGTTGAAAACAGGACTTGAGGCCTGGTGCCTGTGGCTCAAGTGGCTAAGGCTCCAGCCACATACACCTAAGGTGGCAGGTTCGAATCCCCAGCCCGGACCCGCCAAACAACGACAGCTGCAACCAAAAAATAGCTGGGCGTTGTGGACAGGCGCCTGTGGTCCCAGCTACTTGGGAGGCTGAGGCAGGAGACTCGCTTGAGCCCAGGAGTTGGAGGTTGCTGTGAGCTGTGATGCCAGAGCACTCTACCCAGGGGGACAGCTTGAGGCTCTGTCTCAAAAAAGAAAGAAAACAGGACTTGACTGGGTATGATGGCTCATGCTTGTAATCCCAGTACTTTGGGAGGCTGAGGTGCGAGAATCACTAGAGCCCAGGAGCTTAAGACCAACCAGGGCAACATACTGAGGCTCTGTCACTACCAAAAAATTTTTTAAACTCATACTCAACCATACCCTTTCATAATATTTACTTTTTAGTTCCATTTTTCTTATTTATTTATTTATTTAGACAGAGTCTCACTTTGTTGTCCTGAGTAGAGTACTATGGTGTCACTGCTCACAGCAACCTTAAACTCTTGGGCTCAAGTGATCGATCCTCTTGCTTCAGCCTTAGGCTGGTCTTGAAATCCTGAGCTAAAGCAATCCACTTGCCTTGGCCTCCCAGAGTACTA